TGGGGGCATTGATTTGCACCCCCATTCCCCTTCCCTCCCTTCTCCCTTTCCATGTGACTTCATCAGATGAGGTGGCTACACAAATCAGCCTTCTAACTTCCACTGCTGGAAAGGCTTTTGCCAGGCACAGCAGCCCAAGGTCCCCATCCTGGTGGCGGGACTGGAGGAGGTCATTAGTACAGGTGGGTAGGTGGAACTATTCCTTCACCTTTCTTCAGCTCATGAAATCCAGAGCCTCCAAGGCCACCCGACCAGGGTTCACATAAATTGGCCTGATAGTGCAGCCTGGGAATGGAATACTGGACCAGCAAAGAGCTTCTGCATTGGTTTGAGTGAGGCAGTCCCTATCATCTCAAGCCAAGAGCTTAGTTGCATACCCAAATCTGGTTTGCCAATCCCAACCCAAGGACTGACATTCAAGCCCAGATATCATGTCGACTCACCTGATCCCAGCATCATGATCACATGGCTGACAATCTTCCAGGCCTCACAGGTGTTCACCGTATAGGAGTCACATGTTGGATTCAAGAAGAACCCCTGACATTTTGTGGGTTGCACTCGTAGCCTTGTGAGGTTGCAGAAATCTTCTAGGATGCTGTGTTGTTGTGTTGCATGCCCTCCCAGGAGTCACTCAGCAGTTCGAGACCATCTGCAAACACCAGGATGGTCAGGGAAGCATTCCTGACTTTCATTCCCTGCCTGAATGTTTTGAGCTTGCCTATCAGGGGGTCCATCGCAATGTTGAACAACAGGGAGGACATCGGGTCATCTTGCTCGACCCCAGATTTGATGATGATGGGTGGGGTGGAACCACTAAACACTTGTACTCTCATGATAACCTTCTGGTATGAATTTTCTATGAGATTCATGATGTGTTGGTCCACCCCTTTGGCCTTTAGGACCCAGGAAATGTGATTGTGTGACACCGAGTCAAAAGCTTTAGCTATATCCATGAATACTACCCCCAGCAGCTGCCTGTCTTGCTTCATCTTGCTCAAGATGAACTCAAACACCTTTGGGTTTTTGGCACACCAACTTGCCAATATGAACCCCCACTGGTGGGGGCTCATGGGGCATGCTGTGGTGAGCCGTGCAGTTAGCACTTGTGATAATACCCGTAACACAATGGATCCGATAGTGATGGGGTGCCAGTTGCTCAGCTGCCTCAGCTTCTCAAAGTCCACTGCCTTTGGTATCAGCACAGACTAACACTCCTTAAGTCTGTCTGGGACCATGCCAGTGATCAGCCACAGGCTGAACAGTTCAGCAAAAGCATCTCCCTCGGGGTCCGTGTGGCACAGATCTTTCAGGGTGAATTTATCTAGACCTGGAGCTGAGTTGTTGGCCGTTTCCATCATGTGCTTGACAGCCTCCTCCGGAGTGGTCAAGGCCTTGAATGTGAAGTTATCCACATCCCTTTGGAGCCCAAACTGTCCGAGACCCTCAAAAGGTGACTCAGCCTCCCACTTTTCTAGGTAGTCCTGGAAGACCTCCTCGAGCAGGAGGGTGCACTGATTACGCTCAGCGCCATCCAGGATGATGGCCACCAGGAGCTTCCTGTTGGTACCAGACAGGTGCTGGTACCAAAGGAGTGTGCCCCATTTGACAGCATGTTTGTTCATCCAGGATATAGGTTTGCCACCCTCCATGGGCCCCTTCTTGCTCAGAACCCTCTGTGGTCTTGGGGGCACCCCCAAAAACAAAGTCAAAACATCAAGGGAGACCGAGTCAACCCAGGCAGAAATCCTGGGTTGACCCTCCACCCATGAGCCCAAGACTTCCTGTACCTTGTCTGACAGACCCTGCCCCCTCTTCAGCCACTGGCGTGCCATTCTTATCCAGTGAAAATCTTCTTGATTTTCTTAGGTGGTTCAAATGGGCTTTGGGCTTCCATCTCTGGAGTCATGGGCTCCACCTCCACCACAGAGGTGGATTCAGTCTCACCACCCAATGTGGTCTGCTCAGGACTCAGAGAGAGCAACCTCCATTTGTCACTGATCTGCTTAGGCATCTTTGAAACCATCTCAGCAGCGATCAGCTGGTTGATGTTCTGGGCACCAGAGAACATTGTGTCAAGATTGGTGAGAGTTTCTTCTTCTTCCACCGACCAGCACCTGCATCTGGTCTGGGGCCTTAAACCAGTTCTCAACAGGTTATCTGCAACCCGTTCATCACTGCGTGTTACCGGATGCACGTGCCATTTGTGCTGCGATAGGCCTGCTTTCTCATTGAAGGAGGCAGGGTACTCAGGACAATCCCAGTCCTTCCTGGTCCACTCCCGCATCCTCCCCTGCCAATGTGGGATGTGGCAGAGGATGTCACAATGGGTGCACTGGTATTGCACATCCACCCACTTATGGTCCTCCACACAGTGGAGGGCCAGTGTGGAGGGTTTACGCACATGGTCCCTGCAAATTGGGCATGGAGGGTTTAAATCAAGCAGCCTCACCAGGAAAACCCTGTTGGAGGGTAGTTCACCCTCCCTGGTGGGCGCTCTCTCACTTGGGGTTGTGGTATCGGTCTCGGGCCTCTGCACTGAGGGGGACTCATGACCGAGGCTGTGTCACTGCCTGGATGTTTCTGACCTAGTGGCATTGAGGGGGTAATCTCTGGGGTGGGAGTGGGTTTCAAGGCCTGTGTCCCGGGTCTGCAGGTGGCTGCCCATGGGGCACCGCCTGCCATCGGTGTGGGGGCCTCACAAGCAAGGATCCCCCATCTGGCACAGCTACAAGCTGGCCATTCCTGTACCACCAAACCCACAGGGCCACAGGCCAACACAGGCACCATCTGGTAACTGCGTGGTGAACAGTTTTGGCTAGCAGCGGGGCCAACTATTGAGGACATTGTGATTTTTGCAATGAAGCAAAGGGGGCTGCCAAATGCTTGCGAGGCACTCAACAGGAAGGAAGCACTCCTCTGGCTGTACCGTGCCAGGATCAAGCTACTGACAGACCTGGGTCTGTGGCACCCAGCGGGAACCACATGGAGGTACCTGGCACAAACCTGCTATGACCATGTAACCAGACCATTGCCCTTAAAGGAGATGCCTCCTTAAGAGACTTATAGTTACTCCCACTGTTTACCTGCACTTCTTTGAATTTCTACACTTTGACATTCAGAGCACTGAGCAGAAATCACACCTGCCTTCATGATGCTTTGTTTTAATTAAACAGTCAGATTCCCCTGGTCCACACCAATTCAAAGTCAGCTGCTAGGCATCGGCTGAGGCAGAACACCACCCTCCCATCCCCATGGAGGAGGAGAGGTGGGCGATGCCCACTGCAGCTGGGATGATCCACAGGAAGGACTTGGCTTGCATCCAGAGTCACCCCAACCCCCCTGGGAGGAGGAGTAGGCACCTCATCCAGCCGTGGCTTGCACCCAGCCCCACTTCACACCCCAGCCCAACTGACCCAGCTCTTAGAGCCAATCCTTATCCAGAAGTTATGGATTGAGCTTGCCAACTTCCCTTACCTACATTGTTCTAACATGCCAGAGGCTGTTCACCTTGGAGACCCACTGCAGATATGCGTACAGCCTGGTATAAGATTTACACCTTCTCCCCTGGACTTTCAAGGACCAGAGAGAGCGCACCACGATGCTTTCCAAGGCTTGGGCCCCTCTCTTGGGGTGAACCCATTCCAGGGTGCCCTGCCCTACACAAAGAAATGATAGCTCTCCACAGGGCTCCTGCCGGCTTCTCTGGGATCGGTTGTGTTACCACACTGGATGCCTCACAGTGCCTGTCTCCACCACTCCAGACTCAGGAATCTGAACCTGACTCCCTTTTGATTGGCTGAGGGCAATGGAGGCCGTCTCCCATCCCTTCAGAATGGTGCTTGCCTATCTCTTAGGATCGACTGACCCCGATCAACTGCTGTTCACAGGAACCCTTCTCCACTTTGGCCTTCAAAGTTCTCATTTGAATATTTGCTACTATCACCAAGATCTGCACCTGCAGTAGCTCCGTCTGGGCCCACACCCTAGGCTTCAAGACCTACTGTAGCAGCCCTCCTACTCATAGTGGCCTAGCCCCCACAGCTCTCATTGCCAGTGATGGCTGGGTATGGGCCCAACACTCCAGCACCATCCTTTTTCAGAGCTAGTTGATTTGGCAGGTGAGTTGTTACACACTCCTTAGTGGAATCCAACTTCCATGGCCACTGTCCTGCTGTCTATCTTAACCAACACCTTTTCTGGGGTCTGATGAGCGTCAACATCAGGTGCCTTAACCTGGCATTTGCTTCATCCTGCAGCACTGGTTCTGCTTACCAAAAGAGGCCCACTAGACACTCACATTCCATGCCTGGCTCCACACCAATGAGCCAGGCTTCTTATCCATTTAAAGTTTGAGAATAGGTTGAGACCGTTTTGGCCCCAAGACCTCTAATCATTTGCTTTACCAGATAAAACTGTGGAGACAGACGAGTGCCAGCTATCCTGAGGGAAACTTCGGAGGGAACCAGCTACTACATGGTTTGATTAGTCTTTCACCCCTATACCCAGGTTGGGTGACTGATTTGGATGTCAGGACTGCTACAGACCTCCACCAGAGTTTTCTCTGGCTTCTCCCTGCCCAGACATAGTTCACCCTCTTTTGGGTCCTAGCACGTACGCTCATGCTCCACCTCCCTGACAGGGTGGGCGAGACGGGCTGGTGGTGTGCCCTCTGTAAATGGTGGCCTCGGGATCCCACCTCAGCCAGTGCGCACCGGCCCTGACCTTCATTGTGCCACAGGCTTTCATTCAAGCCTCTGACTCATGCACATGTTAGACTCCTTCATCCATGTTTCGAGATGGGTGAGGTGGGTGGCCAACATCACCGCAGACTCCAAACACCAGCATGGCCCTCCCCACCCAGCAGCATGATGCAGTCAGGGCACACTGAGGACTGTCCGCCCCAGTTGACAGTCACACTGGGAGTGAGGGGGCCCATCCCCTGGCAGGCCCTTGAATTGCCCCCCACCATGAGGAGGGAGGGATGGGGGGCTGTGGGGGAAGGCACGGCAGTGGTCATCTCCCTCAACCCCAGGATATGGCAAGAGCTGCTGCCTGGGGGCTGTAACACTCACCTCCACAAAGTGGCAAGCCACCTGCCCACCAGGCCTTCCCAGCCAACCCAAAGTGGGTTGCAGTGCACTGCCATGGTGGAAATGCACCCAACAGGGGCCAGGGCTGTCCGGGTGGCGGTCCCCAACCACCCCGCCCTGTGGAGGGAGGGGTAAGGGGGAATCTGTCATCCTGGGCCGGGCGACCCAGCCCATTGGGTTGAATCCTTCAGGCAGATTGCATGGACCCCACCCATTTATCTCTTAATGGTTTCATGCCCTCTTGAACTCTCTCTTCAAAGTTCTTTTCAACTTTCCCTTATGGTACTTGTTGACTATCAGTCTCATGCCAGTATTTAGCCTGAAATGGAGTTTACCACCTGCTTTGGGCTGCATTCCCAAGCAACCCGACTCTGAGAAGACCCGGTCCCGGTGTGCCGGAGGCCGCTACTGACCTCACACTGTCCATGGGCTGTGCTTTGATCAGAAGGACTTGGGCCCCCTGAGAGCAGCACCAGGGGGTGGGTCCAAGTCCACCGGAAGCCTGCAGCCTGCTTCTCCACCCTGAAGTCTGAAGCAGGCCTCTGGAAAGGGTCTGCACAGCCCTGGCAGCCTGCCGAGTTCCCTTTCCCTCCCCCAGTCAGCTGGGCTGAGGAGGCCGGGGGGAAACCCAGGGACATAAGCGAGGGGAGTGGACTGGCCAACCAGCCCACCAGGGTGCATGACCCAGAGGGAGGCTGGGGTGACATGGATGCAAGAGCAAGAGAGGGCACCACCATGCGGTGGGGTGGGTGGCCCAGCAATAGACCAATGCTTCTGAGAGAAAATCCTGGCACCGGGCAGGAGCCCCTCCAGGGACCCCACCCCTTGTCTCCCCTTGGGTCCTGAGTGGAGGGGAGTGGGGGCAGAGGGGGCCACTTGGGGGAGCCACAGGCCGCCCCAGGGCCTGCTTGGCACCTGGGCCCCCTGTGGCTGGGGGACCCATCCTGCACACCAAGTGATTCAGCCTGGGACTGGTCTGCATGAGGGCCCCAAGGGCCCAGAGGCATGCACACGTGGAGGCTGGAGACATGGATGTAGTGGCACTGCCCTCTGCCCCACGCCTGCCAAGCCAGCATGACACACAGTGACCCCATTAATGATCCTTCCCTATTTTCACCTACAGAAACCTTGTTATGACTTTTACCTATTCTAGATAGTTAAGTTCAATTGTCTTCTCGGTGCTCCACCAGGGCCGTGACTGACTCCAGCGGGGCCATCTGAGGACCTCACTAAACCATCCAATCAGTAGTACCAATGGGTGGTGTATACAAAGGCTAGGGACTTAATCAATGAGAGCTTATGACCCGCACTTACTGGGAATTCCTCGTTCATGGGGAATAATTGGAATACCCAATCCCCATCACAAATGGGGTTCAACGGGTTACCTGCACCTGTCGGTATAGGGTAGATACACACTGACCCAGTCAGTGAAGCGTGCGTGCAGCCCTGGACATCTAAGGGCATCACAGACCTGTTATTGCTCAATCTCCAGTAGCTGAATGCCACTTGTCCCTCTAAGACGTTGGACACTGACCACTCAGGGCTTGCATAACTAGTTAGCATGCCAGAGTCTCATTCATTATCGGAATTAACCAGACAAATCACTCCACCAACTAAGATCGGCCATGCACCACCAGCCACAGAATTGAGAAAGAGCTATCAAACTGTCAATCTTTTCTGTGTCCGGGCTGGGTGAGGTTTCCCATGTTGAGTTAAATTAAGTCACAGGCTCCACTCTTGGTTGTTCCCTTCTGTCAATTCCTTTAAGTTTCAGCTTTGCAACTATACTCTTCCCAGAACCCAAAGACTGGTTTCCCAGAAGCTGCCCAGCGGGTTATGGAAATAATGCTGTGGGATCACTAGTTGGCATCCTTTATGGTTGGAACTATGATGGTATCTGATCATCTTTGAACCTCTGACTTTTATTCTTGATTAATGAAAACATTCTTGGCAAATGTTTTTGCATTGATTCATCTTGCCAGTCCAATAATTTCATCTCTAGTGGCACAATACAAAAGCCCCCGACCGTCCCTCTTAATCATGGCCCCAGTTCCAAAAACCAACAAAATAGAACTGGAGTCCTATTCTTGATTCCTAGCTGGAGTGTTCCAGTCACCAGCTTGCTTTGAACACTCTAAATTTTTCAACGTAAATGCTTTGGACACCCAGGACACTCAGTTAAGAGCATCAAGGGAGTGCCAAGAGGCAGTGGTTGGGATAGGCAGTAGCTCACCTAGTGGTGACCACCAGCTCGATCCCAAGATCCAACTACAAGCTTTTTAACTGCAGCAACTTTAATATACACTATTGGAGCTGGAATTACCACGGCTGCTGGCATCAGACTTGCCCTCCAATAGATCCTCGTTAAAGGATTTAAAGTGTACTCATTCCATTTACAGGGGCTCAAAAGAGTCCTGTATTGTTATTTTTCTTCACTACCTTCCTGGGTCAGGAGTGGGTAATTTGCACACCTGCTGCCTTCCTTGGATGTGGTAGCCATTTCCCAGGCTCCCTCTCTGGAAGCAAACCCTGATTCCCTGTTACCCATGGTCACCATGTTAGGCACAGAAAGTACCATTGAAAGTTGATAGCGCAGACATTCAAATGCATTGCCACCACCACAGGGGCGTGCGATTGGCCCGAAGTTATCTAGAGTCACCAAAGTGGGTGGGTGAGCCTGGGTTGGTTTTGGTCTGATAAATGCACGCATCCCCAGAGGTCAGCACTCATCAGCATGTATTTGCTCTAGAATTACCAGTTATCCAAGTAACGGTTGGAGCAACCAAAGGAACAATAACTGATTTAATGAGCCATCCACAGTTTCACTGTACTGTCCATGTGTACTTAGACATGAATAGCTTAACCTTTGAGACAAGCATATGCTACTGGCAGGATCAACCAGGTAGTCAAGCTCCTTGGGTTAGGGAGAGTGGGGTGGGGGAGCCTCATGGATGGGCACCCACTGGCCCAGGAGGGTCAGTGACTTTCCAGCCCACAGCCCACTGCCCCTCAGTGACAATACAGGGCCCCTTCCCCAGGGCAAGGAAGGAACAAGGACCACAACACAGTGACATGGGAAGGACAGCAGGGAAGGAAGGGTGGGTGACATGTCAGAGCCCAAGCACCCTCTTCCCACCCACTTTCCCCAGGGTGCCCCACCTCAGGGCACCATAGCATATGCCTCACTGGCAATTGCCCACACACTAAATGCTAGAGAAAGCAGTGTCCATGAGACAGGGAGGGTGGAGGGGCAGGGCCGGGACCCACACAAGGCTTCCCCAGCTGGGCCTGCTGATCCTCACCGGTATCTCTCAGCACGGTCAGACCTCTGGGAGTGTTGCCCTGTGGGGTCAGGCTAACTCTCAGGAACTCAATATTGCACTGTTAGACAGGAGGGTGTGACAAAATTGCACATATAAAAACACATAAATCACTTAGATGCATACACACACACATACACACACACTACCAGCTCAGGCACATACACATTCAAACCAGCCTAGGCACATGCATACCTGTCACCAAGTCAAGCACATACGGTATACAACCCAAAAGTTAGACAAAGATCACTATTTTGTATATCATGCACACAATGCCATACACACACACACACATACACACACACTCATCAGTTTACACACATACAACCCACCTACACGTACACACAGGTACGTTCCTAAGTTGTGTGTTGTGATGTGTATGTATGTATGTATATGCTTGGTGTACTTGGGATACCTAGGAAAAGGTTAAGGTAAGAAAGTAGAAGTGTAGGGAGTGGAAGTTGCTGGGTCCGCGATTAGAACCGGTAGACTACAGGGGCCTGGGTTGAAGAACTGAGACTCAGGGGTAAGTTTAGGTTAATTGAGCTTAACTGATTAAAAGACAATGCCTAAAGCCTGCAGAACAGGGGAGCAATGCTGGCACAGAGGCTGGTACTGGAGCCAGAGCTACGGGGGAGCTGAAAGATAGGTGGGGAGAGGGAAATGGGACTAAAGGAAAGTGGGGCTCTGGGTGTGGGGAGCCAGAGGATGTCTCCAGGGCAGCTAGAGAAGCTGAAGGGATTGGCAGTATGTGCTGGGAGCTGGAGAAAGGCTCCAGCTGCTGGAGAAAATTGAAGGACAGTCACAAGGAGCTGGAAAGCTGAGGGGGAGGGGGAACTACAGAAGATGTGGGGGAAGCTTGAAAACAAAGTGACGGACAGAAGAAAATCACAGGAAAAGTAGCATGAGAGACTGAAAGACAGCAGTGAGACAGAAGCAGGAGAGGGAGAAATGAGACAAAACTTAGAGGGGTGAGAAGCAGAGATTGGAGGAGGGCCAAAACATAATAAAGCAAAACCCAACTTAGGGGTCCAAATAACAGTTTTATTACACAGACAACACACTTCACAGCCCCATGAAGATATTGGTTAACACACACACACACACACACACACACTCACACTCACAATGGCAGCAGGGGAAAGAGACTCAGTGGAAGGGCTGGAGTCCAGGTGGGGAAGAGAAGCAGCGTCCAAGTTCTTGGTTGAAGAGGGGGTGGGGGATGATAGGCATCCTTGTCCAGTTGGTGTTTTCCAGAGGGGGGTCACTGGCATGGCCTCTGGGTGGATAGATGGTGTAGTATGGTGCTGGTCCAGATGGAGAGGGTGTCCCACTGGGTCTGTCTTAACTGCCCCTTTTTATAGGAGCAGACCTTGTGTGACCCTAGTGACAGGAGGCATGCCCAGGCAAGGGTCAGCCCCCGGCGTACTGAGCATGTGTGATCCATGCAGGGATGTGCAGTTTCAGGTGTCTGTAATTGTGGGGTACAATGGTAGAGTTGCTGGTTCTGCAGGGTCTTTTGTCTTTCAAATGTGGGTTCTTGTCTGTGTTCCTGGGGGAGGTCCATGGTTCCTGGATGAATCAATGTGAGGTGATGGCTCAGTTATTACAGGCCATTCAGCAAAGGCCTGCTACCATTGTATTTCAATCATTCCCAATCACTCTCATTCATCTGGGAATCAATTTACATGGGAGGGGCATGTGATTCATACAGTTGCCACATGGGATGCCCAGGCAGAGGACAGAAGATGGAGGCTTGACATATAAAGTGGAAACTTTGACATGACTTTGGTTCACTTACAAACACAGGC